GGCCTGGCTGGCAGCGCGGGGCGGGCAGGGCCGGCTCCCAGCCCTCCTCCCCCGGGGCCGTTTGCTGTGCTCGTGCCTATTAATACTCGTGTGATGTTCCCGCAGAGCTGCATGGCACGGGGCGGTGAGTCACCGCACGCCGCCGAGCCAGCCACGCAGCAGCACGCCCGCGTGCCTGCGCCTCCGGGAGAGCCCCCTCTCCCCAGGCCTGTGCGCACCTGCCCAGGCGCTGCCAGGCTCCCTTGCTTGTTGGCAGAGCTCAGCACAGGCCCCGGAGGGTGGAGACCCCCGCAGGAAACCCCCGTGAACCCCCGCAGGCACCTGCACCCCTCGCCTCGCCGGCTCCTAGGGCGCTCCCTGAGATGATCCCGTGCCCCCCGGCGGAGCTGGGTCATGGGCGGCTGCAGCCCAGAGCAGGACAGGACGTCGAGGTGCGGGAATGTGCCAGGAGGGTTTGATGGGGGTCCCTGCAGCCTCGTGCCCAGCCTGAAGCCCCAGCAGATGCCTTGGGGCCTCGCTTGTGATCCATCAGATCCTCAGCTGCTTCCGCTTTCCTGGGCGCCAGGCCTGCCTGATGCGGGACCGGCCAAGGCTCCACACAGCTCAGAGCCCAGCCGCTGCCTTGTAGTTAACGAAATCTTTGGCTAACAAACGGCTTGCTCAGGAAGCCTCCCTTGGCAGCTGGCCCACGGCCAAGCCACTTCCGCCCCTCGTAACGGTTGCGTCCGGCCCAGCTCAGCTAGCTGCCGCGCTCCCTCAAGGCGCCCCGGGGTCGAGGGGCTGTTTGCACTGCGCGGCTCTGCCCGTCTGCGCGGGACCCAGCGCAGGATCCGCCCGGCTGGCGGGGCAGGGGCTGGCGGGACCTGGGACCCTGCTTTGGCCCATGCTGGTAACGTGTGGCCCCAGTCCTGGTGCCAGGCCCACAGCTGGGAGCAGAGGTTCAGGCTGCAAACAGGGTGCTATGGGCCGGCTTGTGTGGGCCTGTGTGCAGGCAGGTGTGTGCATTCATGTGTGCACATATGCATATCGATGTGCATGTGCATGCATGTGTGCAGGCATGTGCATGTGTCTGGGCAGGTGTGTGTGCACATGCATGTGGATGTGTGCAGGCAGTTGTGCGTTCATGTGTGCATGCGTGTGGGCATATATGTGTGCACATGCACGTGCATGCGTGTGGGCATGTGTATGCCTTTGTGTGCAGGTGTGTATATATGTTTGTGTGCATGTATGTGGGCAGGTATACACGTGCCTGTGTGTGCGTGTGCGTGCGTGTGTGTGTGTGGGCAGGTGTACGTATGTATGTGGGCAGGTGGACACGTGTGTGTATATGCGTGTGCACGGAGGGAAGCCGGAGCCCTGTGCTGCCCCAGCGCCGGCGCTGCAGCAAGCCCGAGCCCAGCCTGCTGCGCTGCAGCACAGGAAAGCAGGAGCTGCGGTCGGGTAGTTGCAACATCAGCAGTGTGGCAGAGACGTTGCAGCACAGGATGGCGCCACGAGCCCTGCCCCAGCGCCCCAGATCGGGCACGCGGGCTCCAGGCACCGCTGGGCCCCGGTGGGCTCTGCCGGCCCAGTCGCACCCGGTGCTATTTTCAGCTCGTTGATTGATGACATGGTGTCACCGCCAGCCGCGGCGGAAGAGACAGCCCCGGAAGTCTCCCATATCCGTGGTGCCACGCGGCCTGCGGCACCGGGCCTGGCGCCCTGCTCTGACCAAGCGCCCAGGGGTGCTGGTCCCTGGTGCCCCAGGGGCTCGCAGCTCAGGTCTTTGGAGGAGCCAGGCAAGGGGTGGTGGAGGCCCCCTGGGCCTCCTTGGTCACAGGAAGAGCAGGTGTCGTCCAGCACAGCTGGCCCAAGCCGGGTGGCTCGTGGCAGACGTGCCCCCACTGGTCCCGCAACTCAGGGGCTCAAGCTGATCCACGTGTCCCTGGGGTGCAGGAGCCCTGTGGCTCCGGCCTCCAGGTGGCTGTTGTCCCATTGCCAACTCGGGGAACCCTGGGGGACCCTGGCTGTCCAGCGGAGCTGGCTCCAGGACAGATGCCAGCCAGCCGACCGCGCTGCCCTGTCCAAGCACCTGCCAGGACGTGGAGGTGCCCGCCCGGCTCAGGCTGCCCCTGCCCGGTGTCCCTGGGGTGCAGGAGCCCTGTGGCTCCGGCCTCCAGGTGGCTGTTGTCCCATTGCCAACTCGGGGAACCCTGGGGGACCCTGGCTGTCCAGCGGAGCTGGCTCCAGGACAGATGCCAGCCAGCCGACCGCGCTGCCCTGTCCAAGCACCTGCCAGGACGTGGAGGTGCCCGCCCGGCTCAGGCTGCCCCTGCCCGGCGAGGACTGGGCCTGTCACCGGGGCCTCATGGCGGAGCGGCAGGGAGTGCCGGCGCCGGGCGG